ATAGCCGATTCGCCAGAGATGGTTCGAGTGATTGGGCTGAGCATCTCTTCACCAAGCGGACCACTCACAGGAACTGGTGTAGTCATGGTGGGAGACGGGACAATCTCTGACAGGCGAGACGGAGGTTCCTTACGGGACTCTGAGTTCCAGATACCAGTACCCCATGGGAAGGAGCTTCCTCCAGCTTGGTTCCAATTGAACGAGCCACTAAGACCTGGGCTGGTGGCGTTTGAAGTCCATGGAGCTTGTTCACTGGAGGGGCTTGCCGGATTGGAAGGGGCAGATGTGAGAGGGCCTCCGGGCAATGAATGCTTGCGCTGCGCTGACAGAGGTATCTCGTTCAGCCATGAGGTGCGGCGCACCGGCTTGGTTGCAGGTGCCGTGATGGTATGAGTGAGAGGATGGTGGTCTCCATCATCGTCTGACGAGGCCAGTGCATCTGAATCGGGTGTTGAGCGTCGCACTCCGGGATGGCTCTTCTCGAGACGTGCAGATGCAGTCACTCCCGAAACGGGCGGCATGCTGGACTGCATTGCGGGGGTTTGCTTGCTATTTGGCGCAGCCATTGTCTAGGGTGTGAAGCTAGGAGAAAGTTAGCATACGTGTTGTCGAAAATTTTGCAACTCAAAATGAGACGAAAAAAGGCCCAATTCGCGCTTCCACGTCACCATGTTCGCAGAATATGGGCAGACATTGTTATAGGTACAATGCGCATAGCTGCGGCAAAAGTAACGCGAGGGTGAGGGACACAAAGGATCCAATATCGCAGATCAAAGTCGCTATAGTTGTAGGGGAAGGAGGCAAAATCGCTACACCCTGTATATCGCGTGATACTCCAGATATACCACGAATGGCTGCGACAAAAGTGACGGGGAAGTAACGGGAAAGTGACGGGAACAAAGATCTCATCTCGGACGTCAACATCACTGTATGCGCAGCAAACGGCCGGAATTGATCGAAGGTATACCGCAAATTGGTGCGACAGAAATGACGAGAAGGTAACGGGGAAGAGACGGGAATGCAACGAATAGAAGTCGGGCAAGAGGCATGGGGAAGTCGAGGAAAAGACGGCAATGGACAACGAAAATAGCGATCCGCACTTGGAGCGTCAGGGAAGGACCTACCGAAACGTTGTTGTTCCCCAGTGGGAAGGTCGAGATGGGGCGAACGAGGTTAAGTTGTGTATGGGTCTACCTGCAACGGTCGAGGGCACAAGACAAAGAGCCGGTCTTTGTTTCACGCAATCAGTTATGAGAATTTTGCAGGCGAGGAGGCCAATCTCGATTTTTCAAAGACACGACGGGTGGCCCGATGTATGCGCTATGTGCAGAACTGCGAAGGAGAGAACGTCAGTTAATTGTTTATCGATATGCGGGACACCAACAAGAGAAGTGACGTGAATTTGCGAGGAGCAGTCTGTCTTTTATAGAAACATGTCTGGGTAGTGAGCGGTATGTTTTGTTTTTCGGAGGGCAAGTTGGTGGCATGATGAGCCTCATCAGGCCAAAGTGGGGGATCTCGGACACCTGCGACGGATCGGTGCAGTAGACTGCCCAGTTATATCGCAAATGGCCGAAGTGAAGGTAGTTGACCACGCGGTCTATACCCGGCGACATGACAAGTCTCATTCACACCGGGAAGGATTGCCAACCCCGACTGCGAAAGGAAGAGGCATAGGAAGACCTTCCCGATCGCGTGGCGCAGAACATGCAGCAAGACAGGGTGATCAATGGAAGGGGCAACTCACGTCCTGTCTAATATGGGAGAAATAACCTACCGGAAAGTCGATGATTCTAAGAGTCTATCTCGACCGTGACCAGACCAGACAGACGCCGGGGAGAAAGCGGAATGACAACGGAAAGGAGTATCAACGGAGTGAGACAGGAAACGGCCGTAATCGTAGTCGTAACTGTCGCCAGGCGAGAGCGGGGAGTGTGAGTCTTGGGCGCATTCAACGAGGACACACGGAGGAAGAATTGCAGTCGATGCGCGCGACTCACCACTCTATCGGGATCGTGCGACGGTATAGGAAGCTATCACTCTATCGATAAAAGACAACGGACTGGGCCAGTGCGGATTCGTGGGTCTCGTGATGATCGCCAACACCTTCTGTGAGAAGCTTCACGACTTCTAGCGGGCCGAGATGTCGGAAGCGACCGCAGAAAGTCGATCGCAGAGAAACGCGCCCGTTGAGCAGTATGGACCGGCGGCAGATGCGCGCGAGCAGCGGCAGCGAAGGCGTCTCCGACACGATCTGAAAGCGCGAACGGCGGATGGGAATCCGCAAGTCCGGTGGGTGTAGCCTCTTTTATTGGGCGGAAGATATAGTGAAAAATCGCGAGATCGCCACTGGACGAGGTGAGGGAATGCGTTCGGAAGGTTGGAGGGCAGCTGGTAGCGTGACCACGGATGACGTTGTGGAGCAACCGAGACCCTTTAAGGGTGGCGCATAGTGTAGGGGGAATATGGAGAGGAGGAAGAAGGAAGAAGGGAAGAAGAAAAAGGTGGCGAGAAGAGGAGAATATGGAAGAAAGAAAGTAGGATGGGAGGGGAGCAAAGAAGAAAGAAATGAAGCTGAGGCGGGGGGATGAAAGTCAAGAGGAGCAGAATGGTGGAACTGGGGTAAAATGGGGGGGTGGTGAGAGAGAGAGAAAGAAGAACGGATCTGGCAACGTCGCCCCGATGTTCAGGGGACACGGACCACTACAGATGATTCCACGGCGTACGGTAGTACCCTTGAAGGTTGACCGTCGTACTTTGCAGCCACTAGGAGGGTCGGGAGGTTCTTCAATCTGGATGCGCGAATATTATGAGTGGCCAGGCTTGGGAATTTTTGAAGCAGTAACTGGATTGTGGAGAGTGCTCTGATTCTTAGAGATATGAGGGAGTACAGAGTGCTGTACTGTATTTTGAGTAGTAAGAGTAGAATTATCATATTGGAGGCTACCACGCTGTATCATTATGATTGAATTCGGTAGGATCTTCTACTACTAATACACTCCGTTGAGATCATACAATGAGAAAAGCCCCTCCCCCCTGGGAATATTGGCGTCGCAACCATAATAGACAGCTCTGGATAGGCCGATGCAAGTCGTTCGGGACTACGCCGCATCTGGCAAAAGGCTGGGTCAAGCGGGGCCTTTTGGGGTGGAAGAGAGAGCCGACGATCGTCCGGGGTTGGGATTGGCGTGGGAAGCGAAGAGGTTTGGAACGACAAAAAGCCGCCAGCCTGCAGCCCCTGTCAGCCCACAGCAGGGTGTATTATAATATAGAATACGAAGATGTAAAAACATTGATATATATTTCCAGATATACATATATATGTATCGAGGAAGATATTTATATCATCAATCAGGTGCAAATTCTATATTGCCATCACGCACTACTTGTCAAAACGAGTCCCGTTCCCGTCAATAGAGTTACAGTTGGTGGATATGATGCCGACCTCGTACGTGCTGGACATCTCGCACGGCCCATGCATTGGCTGGCTCTTGCGGGGTTCGCCCCCCTCGTCTCTGTTTCCCC